GAGGGGTGTGAAAATAGCCCATGGAAAATAGTGCTTCAAACTCCCACTCTTCTTAACTGAAGTTCTACCAGTTTCTCATAAATAAATGTTATTCAATTTGGTTTTTTTTTTGTTTTGTTTTGTTTTGTTTTGTTTTGTTTTTTTTGGCCTTTGGTTGATTTTTTAGAGATCTAAAGTGGTTATTTTTGACAATTTGTCAAGTATGTTTGTTGCAGAGAGGTTTTTGAACTTTTCATTCTGAGACAGCCATCTTCCAACACTTTTAACAATTCTGAATATTAATATCATTGCCAGGAAGAGCTAACTGGTTATTTACACATTTAGAGATAATTTTTCATGTGCAGTCTTTTTTTGAACACAGATCATTTATTAAAGAGGAAAAAGTCCGTTCTCATAACATTACTGTTATCTCACTGTATTTGACCACACAAAGGAGAATTTTCCTATGTTTACACTGTATTTTCTTTTCATTTAACTCTTTTTGCTTTTCTTCTAAGGTCAGTTAATACTTCATTTTCCCATTTACTTTTTCTCTTTATTTTTTTTTCTTTTCTGAAGAGGTTGATGATTTTCTAAAAACTGGGTGAATTAGAGGAGTCTGAGTGGCACAAACAATTAAAATTCCAACTCTTTGTTTCAGCTCAGGTCGTTATTTCAGGGCTGTGAGATTGAGTCCTATGTTGGGGCTCTGCACTCAGTGTGGAGTCTGCTTGAATTTCTCACTCCCTCTGCCCCTCTCCCCATACTCACACACACTCTCTCTAAAAAAATAAAAAAAATTTTTAAAGTAAAAATGAGGTGAATTCTATCCACTGCTTATCTCTTATCTATAGGAACATTTACATGTCCAAAAAGAAACAGTTAAGCAAATTAGCAATGTATGACTTTATTTTTACTTTATACCCATAAAATCTGGTGCACTGATCTACCAAATTCCAGTCTTTTATCCTCCTAATTTTCCAAGTAGAGAAGTGATACTCACATATATAATTATATTTGTCAAGATCTTTTGTCTCTTTATAAATAGAGTCCATTGTCTGCTTACATGCTTCTCAGTTGACATTTATGAAGACATTACACATGAGAAAATGGGGTGAGACAATTAGGGGAGTCAATTACACAATGGAAATAATGTTGAATAAATTTACTCCAAAATTCCTTCACATTTTGAATAATTGTCATTTAAGCTCAGTGATTTATTTACTTTCCTTTTAACCTTCCTGAGTAACGTTTACTATCTGACTTAGTACAAATTTGTCTGCTTTAAAATTTTTCTGGCCATTTTTTCCAAAGTTATTTTTGATAAATTTAGTAATATGTTTCTCAACACTCAGTTTCCTATATTTTGTGTGTGCTCAGATATTGCATATGCAAAAGATATATGTTTATATTGTAGGGTTAGAATTTGGCTTACTAAGGGCTAGTGTTTAATATTTATCCTTATTTTGTAAAATGATAGAATTAAAACAAAAAAATTAAGAGGTATGTTCACATAATAAAAATACTACTGCTAACATTGCCGCTGCTTCTGCTGCTGCCGCTTGCTACTACTGCTAGGTAATGTTTATCTCTTTCTGTGCTCCAAGTACTGTTCTAGGGTTTTAGTTATGATAAGTTATTTAGTCTTTACAATACACTATGAGGTAGATACTATCATTATCACCATTTCATAAGTTGAACTGTGGCAGGCAAGAGAAGTTGAGAAGGTCTCAAGGTTATATGGTAATAAAAAATAAAACCTAACCTTCATAATTAGTCTGTTTTGAGTGTTGTTCTAAGAGCTTTATATGTTTAATACATTTTTATAATATGCTTAATGTAATTATCATATAAAGTCTAGTAGCTATTAAATTATTATCATTATCCTCACATGGAATATGGATAAACTAAAGCATATAGATATGAAATTACTTGTCATGTTCATGTATCAGTAAATATGGATCTGGGACTGAAGGCCCACATCCTACCTCTCTGGTGAGGGTTGGAGCTGGTATTTGAACTCCAGCAACATAGCACCAGACCTTGTTCTTTACCATTGCTTCCTGCTGCCTTGCAGACAAATTGCATGTGAGTTTTTGGTAGAATTATTGAAGTTTGGGATTAGAAGAAACTTCAAAAGTAACCATCTATTGAACAATCTATTTTACATCTGTTGCAAAATCCTCTCCAGAATTTTCTCAACAAATTTTTGTCCAGACTTTCTTTGAAAATTTTCACTAAACCTCAGGGTAACTCATTCCATTTTGAGTTGGTATTATTAGAGAGTACTTTTCTCTATTGTGATAAAATTTGCATTCTTATAGGCACCACTAAAGTTCTTTGAATCTGATTGGTCTTCTGAAGTCAGAAGAAATAAGTTTAATTCCTTTTCCATATGATAGCTTTTTTTTTAAGATTTTATTCATTTATTTGACAGGGAGAGAGAGATTACAAGCAGGCAGAGAGGCAGGCAGAGAGAGAGGGGGAAGCAGGCTCCCTACTGAGCAGAGAGCCCGATGTGGGGCTCGATTCCAGGACCCTGAGATCATGACCTGAGCCGAAGGCAGAGGCTTTAACCCACTGAGCCACCCAGGCGCCCCCATATGATAGCCTTTTAAATATATAAAATTTCTTGAGCTATCCCACATATAACATGACTCTGAGATCGCTCACCATCCTAGCCTCTCTCCCTTAGACCAAAAACTTTATAAATTTTCCTCCTAAAACATTAGGCACAATATGTAATATTTCTAATATATTCTGAACATTATAGATACAACAGGGCTAAAACTTACTGTTTCCTTTATGGAAATAGTATAGTACCATGGTTAAAAGTGTGGATGCTGAAACAAGCTATCCAATTCTGACTTCTGCTTCCAACACTTAAAATAACCACATTACTTTGGACAACTAGAGTTTCTACAACTCTCTGCCTCAGTTTCCTCACTGGTCAAATAGGGACAAGTATAATTATTTTGTGAAACTGGTATGAGGACTAAGTGTGATCATAGTTAAATCATTAGAAACTTCCTGAAACAGTATGAGTTCAGAAACTGTAGGTAAAATTATTTAATAATTCACTACTTATTGAAGGTCTATTATGTATAGACATTGACATTGCAAAGATGGAATAAAGTTATAGACTGCATTCCCTAGGTATCTCCACTTAAAATTCTAGACTTTATACTTCTTTAGAAATGACCTATAATTACATTTAATTTTGGAAAGTCATAAATCCATGTCATACTGTGAACTTATAATTAGATAATAGTAAGGGAAAATCCTTGAGCCTTTTTTATGGCGGCTGCTGTGAAATGCTACCTCTTCTATCCCGTTCTAGGTCATCCAGTTATATCTTGTCAGGATCTTTTGAGATCCTGATTGTGTCTTCTGGGGTAATTGTTTTCTATCCAGCCTCGATGTCATATGTGCATATGAGAAGCCTTCCATCAATGTGGCAACCAAGTCATTGGTGAAATGTGAAGTGGAATCGAATCAAAGGCAGAGCCTGCCACAACCCTTAGAGGGGTCCCTTTGGGGAGTCATTTACACAGTTAGGAATCCACCTAACTGTGCTTATACCCAGAACATTTCTTAATCTTGTTAATAAGAACACTGTGGGAGGCTTTTTCACAAGTCTTATTTAAACCCAAATGTCTTATATTAATTTATATATCATTACTTGCTTGGTAATCCTAACTCTATTGGAGAGAGAGAGAGAGAGAGAGAGAAAATCTTAGTATGCTGAGTATAATTGTTCCAAGTAACCCGTGCTAATGCCTAGTAATTATTGTCTTCTATAAGGGCTTTCAGAAATCTTCTAAATAACCACTTATATAACCTAACTAGGGATTAATTGTAAATGTGCATTTTGTACTTTAAGATACACTTCTGCTTCATTTTGAAAATTAAGACTTTATTTATTTATTTTTTTGTCATCACCCTTGTCTCTGTCACTAACTACCAGGATAATGAGGCTTAGAAATGTCATTTACAATTTCTCTCATAGTTTTTGAGATCCAATTTTTCCAGGCCTCAATACTTGAAGCATTTAAAGATATCTCTTGCAACCACCTCATTTATATTTGGTTTCAACTTGATGCCTTTCTATCCCCCTCCAATCTGAAAATCTCTCTTGACAGAGAAGTTGGCAATAAAATCTACTATTATACCACTAACCTCAAATTGCTACCTTCCTTTGTAATTTTGCTAAAAAAATTAATTTTGATATTTCTATAATATCCTTTGTATTTTTATAACATCTATTCTTTATGACTTCAGTCTTCAAGACCATTCTCATAGGTCAATGATGTTTGTGTATTTGTATATTTGCCAAGTATGGCCCTTCTTTCATACATTCAATAATTTCTTCCATAAATATTTGTTGAGGTTCTCTTATTTGCTATTCCAGTCACTGGGGATACAATAGTGAATGAAACTGTCATATTCCCTGACTTACATCCTAGAAATTGGTGTAAACTTTTTATTATTGGATTTATCTTCTCACTTTCTTTTCCCGGCTGAAGGTAGTTTTCTTTTATGTGTTGAACTTTTAATTTTTGGGCATCATGTAGTCCTTTTGAGATGTATCTTTAGGTTAGCGTATCATGATCTTAGAAAAAAAAATTATTTTTAATTTTCTCCTTGAAAATTCTTGAAGTCAGCCCTCTGAATTTCTGAGTCAAAGTCTAACATTTTTCCTAGCATCTATCTCCAATAATGTTTCCATGATTTTGTAAAACTAAAGACGACAATATGAGACAAAGAGGCTTTGCCATAATTTACACAGATATTGACACATGTGGAAGTTGGATTTTAAGTCTCAGAGTTTTTTTACTTCTTCATTACTACATTATTATCATGAATGGATTTTTTTCACGGGTTTCTTATATCACCAAGATATTTTGACAACACTTGAGAGGTTTATTAAGGTATGCTCAAATATGAGAAAAAAGAGAAAATATTTCTTTAAAAATGATCATATTTTTTATTACTAATTTAAAATGTTGTCTGTGTTCTAGGAATAGTCCTGCCCTAGTCTATGCCATCCTTGTCATATGGACCTGGAGCATGCTGCAGTTTCCACTCGACCTGGCAGGTAAATGTCTCAATATTTGCTCAAAGAAACAGAAAATTATAACTCCTGATTACAAGCTATAATCTTGTAGGCATTTGAGAATATTATCATTTTTAATCATTTTGATATCCCAGTGTTAGTGCCGGTTCAGTTTAGAAGAAAAATTGACTGAAACTTAAGAAAACCGCTAGTGGATCCATTCTGGGACCTGGTGATCCTGAGAGAGTCGCGTGTACTGGAGCACAGCTTTACACTCACTTCAAAAAGAGGTTCCATCACATGTGCATTGTAAAATCTCCCACAAACTATGTAAGACCTTTGTGCCTCAATTTTCACCAATGAAATGGGACTGTTAATCATAGTAACTAGAGTTGAAATTTCTTGTGATGACTAAATAAGATAGAGTTTGTGAAGTACTTAGCATAGTTGCTGGGATATATATGTTACCTCTTGATATTTTCAGACCTCATTTTCATTCTTTTGTCAGACCCATATCTTAGAATATCACAGGGAATAAGAGCAGTTTGGGGGCTACAAGGAAAATTAAAATTTTCCTCAGTAGTGGCCCTTAGAATTCCATTGGTCATATTAATAAATACATCAACTCCTAAGACTTTGTAAGAAGAAACTGTTTACCAAGCATATCATACTAGTAATGATCTAGAGCTGTTTGTCCAATATAGCATCCACTAGCCACATGTGGCTGTTTAAATTTAAATTAATTGAAATGAAATAAAATTAAAAGTTCAGTTCCTCAGTCACACTAGCCACAATTCAAGTCCTCAGCTACCGCATATGGCTGCTGTAGTAGGCAGTGCGTTAAGCAGAAGATTTTTTTACCATCACAGGAAGGTCAATTGGATGACATTAATCTGGAGTCATCCCCTAACTTCCAGGAAAGATACCTGGAATTCTGACTTGAGAATTCTCCAGGATGCTACTTTACCCTGAAGAAATTCTAGGATTTAATAATTACATATTCCTTAAGCCTGACTTCTTTTTTTATGGCACCCTACTCGATGGCCTCAGGATTAAAATTAATCTAAAACAGAGATATTTAATCTTTCTGCATCTTCTTTTGGCTTACTTTAATAGGCCCAGAGTTTTCAGAGGCCATTTTAGAATTTAGCAAACACTCTCTGAAACAAAACTGTCATCAAAATAGATGGAAAGAATGGGGGTGGATTTTTAGAAACATCCAAAATCTAATTACCGGTTAATAATTACAAACAAATGTATGCTAATAACACACAGACACAGACACTGACACACACAGACACACACACACACACACACACACACACATTTTGTTGTAATGTGCCCAATCTATACCTCTTGATCAGGTGGTGTTTCCTGACAGAATATTTGGTACCATCACTTTAGATGTTGAAGAACACTCTTAGGAGGTCCCCTTGGAACCATTTCCTTACCCTAACTTCTTAAGAGAAGCCGCTATTGGAGCACCTGGGTGGCTCAGTCAGTTAAGCATCTGACTCTTGTTTTCAGCTCAGGTCATGATCTCAGTGTTGTGGGATCAAGCCCTGTGTAGGTTTTGCCCTCAGCAGGGATTCTCTCTCCCCATCTCTCTCCTCCTCTCTGCTCACCCTCTAAAAGAGATAAATAAATCTTTTTTAAAAAAGAGAGAGAGGCCACTATTGATTTTCTTTTTTTATTCACACTGTTCCTCCTCACCCTCCCATATCTTGTGGTTTATAGCCTTGCTAAGAAAATTTTTATTTGGGAAAGAAATTGTATAAACTTTCAGGGGTGATAATGTTATACAGCTGTTTGAAAAACAAAGACCAAATGTTACTTCTGCCTAAATCACTATTGTATTTTCCAACAAACAGTACATTATGTTCACCCATATCAAAGCAGCTTCATAATATTTGCAGGCTCCAGTAGACGAAGGCATTCTTTGTTTGAAAATTCCAAATGGAAGGCTTCATTATTATAAAGGATTATTTTATGCCCTTGACCTTGAATTAAATTAGCATTTTAGAAATTAAAACAAAAAGGTTCATCTGTTGATTGGGCCTCCTTTTGTTCAACTGGAAAATCAGTAATTATATCCAGTGTTTCTTGTAAACCGTGAAATGAAACCATACGGCATTAGACAAAATAAAATAACAATGGCATTTATTTTGGGCTTTTGTCCACCCACCATTAGAAAAATATGTTTAACATGAATTAAGTTTGAATTTGAATTATAAACACTTGCATTTTCACAACATAATTTACACGTGTGGCTAAGTGAGTCAACCAGGAAACAGGTAAATCCCAAAACAGAAGGATCCCAAACTCAGCATCAGCTAAGTCATTCATTATCCCAAGGGAAAGAGAGAAGTGAGAAATCAGAGAGGAGCCAAGGGTGTTACTCTCATGGAAATAAAAAGAGCCAAGGAATAGGGGCCCCTCTCCTCACAGACATCGTTGTTACCTTGTTTTTCTAAAGAAAAAACTGGGGCCCAGGAAGGTTAAGTAACTTGGCCAGCATCTTACTACAAAAAAAACGAGGCAGCTAGCCTATCTGGCTTGAGACCTAAAATGCCCTGCTGTGCTCTCTCTCTACACTGCAGACCCTAGGGACAGAAAGGTGGTGTGGTGTCCCCAGGATGGGGACTAGAAGGTGATCTAAAATTTGTGACATGGATGGAAAGCTGAGGACTGGCTTTCTTTTGTGTGTTTTATTGAAATTACAACAGACAATTGATTTTAAACATAAAATGACCACAGATATTAGGTGGTTAAGGGGTGGCTAAACGTGGTGTTCAATGTTAAGGATGAGCTCACTCATTCCCCCCAGAATTAAACTATAGAATCAGTCCTACCTGTTAAGTAGTACAGCCCCCATCATTGATGACTTGTCCCCACTTCATTCTGTCTTATACATTTCAGAGGTGCACTAATTGGTCTGTCTTGTGTTCTCAGTACAGCATGTGGTCTGCCCCTTGTCCTTGGCAATGAGGGGGTTCCCCAGCTTCTTCTTTTGCCAATACAGCGCCGATCTTTGGAACATTGGGATCAGCATCTTCATACAAGACGGCCCCTTCCTCATCGTGCGTCTCATATTGATGACCTACTTCAAAGTCATAAACCAGATGTTGGTGTTCTTTGCCGCCAAGAATTTCCTTGTGGTGGTGTTACAGCTCTACCGCCTGGCAGTGCTGGCAATGGATGTCCGCGCTTCCTTGCTACATCAGCCCGGAAGCCTGAAAGCAAAACACCGCTGCCCGTGTGAACCCACTGCAAGTGGGATCTCATCTGGAGACCCGGAGAGCGGCTCTAAGGCCGGCTTGGGGGTCCCCTTGGAGACCTTACCAGTCACCCCTGAGGACTCTCAGTCCACCCCATAGCTCCTTACTGACAGAAGGCAGCCACTAGAACGTTTGACTTCCTGGTCCTTCTTATGGATGAATCTATACTCTCTCCCTCTTTTTTAACTTTGGCATATAATAATTTTCAAAAGAACAACATAAAAAGTGATCTTAAACCAAAGCTGAGGAATTTTCTTTTTTCACCTGAATGGAAAGAACTTTGATTAGTGGCTATCGCTACAACTTCTGTGCGATGGTATCAGATGTTACAGTTGTTCAACGACTGAGTGATTTGTTTGTCTTGAACTGTTTGAAAAGCTATGGACAGGGTTACAGTGACATGCCCTCAAAAGATGTAGTGCAGACAAACTGTCACGGCTGTTACCTGAAAATAGAGAAGCTTTGAACTTTGGCTCCATTGTCAGACTATCTCATCTGATCTTTCCTGCAATGTCCCTGACATCAAAAAATGTACATTCAGTGAATGCAGAACAAATGAAGGGAAAAGTGCTTTTAAAATTACCTCACTGTGAGCTGGAAGCAGTGAAAATCTCTGCCCAGCTTCCATAGCATTGAGAGCCCTCTCCATCGCTGCACAGACCTTCCCAGGAAAATCATTTTTCTGGGCTGATGTGGTATTCTGTCATGGTGCATATGCTCTTACAGAAATTTTATTGCTTTTGGCTTGGGCACTGCAAAATTCACAGCAAGCCATTTCGGTTGTGAGGCAGGAAATACTGGTAATGCTAGCAAAGTCACAATTTCCACTCTGAAACATGATTTGTGGTATTCGTCAGTATTTTTCTTAACTCTACTTTGCCATTTTCTGTATTGCCAAGTCGAATTATGTGGGTTGATGCAAGGAAGCACTGAAACAGGGAGTAAAGGTGTTTCAGGCCCTTTAAGTGTTACCATAGTTTCCGGAGTCAGCCAGAGGTGGATGGAACCCCTCCTAACTGCGGCTATAGGGAGCCTGAGTCGGCCTTTGGTCCCTGGTAAGGTGTCGGGGATAGAGGCTTGCATCAGCCAGACACGCAGCCAGCAGCCCTTGACTGGTGACCGGATGCAGAGTATGCCACGCCACGACACTGTGGAAATCAGGAAATTCGCTTTTCTTCCCTGCATTAAGACTTCACCTCCCTGGTGTTGAAATAGACATTCTTTCCCCTTACACACCTCTGTACTTTCTAGATGGAGGTCATTCAGAACAGTTTTAAATGATTTTTGCTTTTAAAGATACAGTGTGAAAATTTACCTGACTGTATAGCAGTGATTACATTCGAGGCAAGCAGTTACGAAACTGCTCTTTTAGGGTTCAAAGCATAATTCCTCCTTGTTATTATGCTGAGGAATTCAAAGGGACATGAAAGATAAGACCGGAGTATGACCTTAAATTGGGTGTGACTGTTTGACAACCACTGGGGACAATTTTATCTATAAATCTGTGTGACAGGATATCTGTTCAAAATATTTGATTCAGTGTTTCATAGGCAAATTCTATTTTTATACAGAGAAATTAATATTTTCCAATCCTTGGTTTTTTCAGTGCCTGATAGTATGTTTTTATTTCATCCTTTTCTTCCTTGTGTTTCTAATTATAACAGTATGATGATTGTAAAATTACACATGAGACGAGTGGAATACATTTATAATTTTCATAATAATTTTATGAACATTAAGATCAGGAAATTATATTTATATAAAGAAAAGAACTTGACAACTTTTAAGGGCATGTTATTTAAAATGCTTAGCAATTGGAAGCAAAATAATAAGTGCTACTATTTATAAAAACGCCTCGGCAGAATCTGTTTTTCTGTTGACTAGTTTATGTTGAATGTTTTCTTCTACAACATGTATGTGCTGCTTATTATTGCAGATTTGCTCATGGCATACTTTTCATGTTTTAATTTTTTTCTTCCAGCAAAACAAACATTGAGCATCTAAAAATAGATAAACTATAAAGTAGTACGGCTGTTGAAAGGATATTTTTAAACGTTTTCAAATCTGAGACTTGGCTTGGCTTCGTGAATGAGTTCCTAGTGTTTCAGTAAAGTATTTTGTAATTAGCACTCCTCCAAAGGCCTGGGAAATGGGAAGTCCAGAGTCTGGCTTTACTTAGCGTTCCAGAAAGGCAAAGGGCATGGAGGACCATCTCGGCAATGAATGGTGGCAGAAATAAACACACGCTCCACAGGGTTTTCCAGGAAAATCTGTGAAGAGCAACATTTGTTAACCTAACCGCGGGTACCTCTACTCTCATGGACTATTTTTGTAATCATTTAGTTCATTTAAAAACAAAACCTAAATGCAAGACCTAAATCCAACCTAAATCTAAGACCCCTGATGAAAAGAGCTAAACTTGTATTCAATAATTGTCTGTTTTTATTCTAGATTGCTAAACATTGTAGTGTTTGAAAACAGTCCAGCATTTCCTATAAAGTGATTAGAACAGCAGTTACCATGCGTATATTAACAACCCGGGACCTGCTTCCGTGGTATGTGTAAGCAGATAACTGTTCAGATCATCTGTATGATGTGTCGCAAGCCATACCTCTCTATGATCCCTCACAGACCCACAACACACCAATCCCCAGCCAATGAGGAGAGTGGCTCGTTTGTGGTGGTGTCGTTATTGTTGTGGTTGTTGTTACCTAATTCCTTGATGGAAACTCAATCAAATGTCTTTCCTAAAGACATATCATTCTACTCATGAGGAAACACAGGGTACATGTTTTAATGATGTTGCATGGAAACATAACCATGGCACGGGGTTTTCTTTTGACCCTGACTAGATGAGTCCCAAAGGACATGACTTCCCATTGCAAGATCCTTAAACTGTCTTTATCTTTCATTATTCTGTGAATTTTTATTTCAGCTGGAACTGCTAACATAGGAAAATAAAAACTTGTATTGGCCAATAACATTCTAGCTAATCTTCCAAAGTGAAGACTCTTACACAAATTTACCGGTCGGACCTGTAGTGCTTCCACTAATATGTTGCAGCACTTCAGGCCCTGTAAAACCAGAAAGACACAACCAAGAAGCATTGGGATTCTCTACTGTAATATTAATTGTGGATTTGTGATTTAATAGAAAGCTTCCAAAGCTCTGGAAAAGCATGCATTATAGGTGCACATGGTTTAAGTTTTCTCCAAGGTTTCAGATTTCAGCACTGACATCTATTCTCTTTGGCACTTAGTTTCAATTCTTAATCTATTCTCTGGTTAAGAAAGAGAAAGAATTGTAGAAGGCCAAGTTTCTGTCCACCTTCACTCTGCTTTGGCACTAGGAAAGTGAAATGCTGAAATATATTGCAGAGACTTGACGTACACACACAAAAAATCTTGAATTGTAAGAAGAGACTGTTACTTTTTTGTTTTGTTTGGGTTTTTTGTTTTGGTTTGGTTTTGCTAATTTCTTTGTACTTTGGGCCATTCTGATCCACTCTTGCAAATATCCTATTTGGGGGTAAAACTCGGCAGCTGGAGGACATTTATAGCCCTGAGGCTTCAAATAACATTCCATATGATGGGAGGAACTTTAAACAGTGTTCAAATAATCAACGGCTGCAGCCTTATATTTTACGCATGTCCATCCTCTAAGTCCTTTCTAGAATATTTTGTGAGAATATTTTCTCCAAATTATTTATATCAATACTATTTTACTACAAATGACCTTTGTATTTTATTATATACATTAAAGAGTTTGTGTACAACATTATCTTGATGTCTGTTTTTTGTCTGCATTTCTTGTCTTTGTTCTCTACTGTCATTCATTTCATTTCATTTTTAAGCTTTGATTTTAAAAAACAGATCTATTTAGAATGTGACTAAAGTGGCATTTCAAACTAGCGAGGAAAGGCTGACCAACTTTATAAATGATGTTGGGGAATTTGTGAACCATCTGGAAAAAATAAAGTTAGATTTTTATCTCACGCAATATATAGAAATAAATTCCAGATGGATTAAAGAACTAAATATAAAAGTAAAAACTATAAAATATTAGAAGAAAATACAGGATGTGTCTTTAGCATTTGGGGAATGGAAAAGATCTTCCAAAGCAAGACGTGAAATCCAGAAGCTCTGAGAGAAAAGATGGACAGATTTTCCTACATAAAGGTTTAAAATTTCTAAATGGCCAAAGGTGTCATAAATATATCTATTACTCTCCTTTCTGGGGAATGGTGTCAGTGCAGTTATACAAGAGAAATGAGAGTTATAGAAGTTAGAAAGGAGTTAAATTTATCACTTAATTGTAGAAGATTGAAACTTGAACATCCAAGAAAAGCACATAAAAACATAAACTGTTAAAAATAATAATCTAAAATCATGCCAAAATCAATGCTTTTCTATACATAAACAAAGATTACATAAGATATTTGAAGGAGAGAGTTCCATTGTAATATAAATTAGAACCAGAAAATATGTAAGAATAGACTTAGTAAATGTGCAAGATCCATGCGAAGAAAACTTCAAAATGATTTTGAAAAGCATCAGTGGATAATTTAACAAACTGAAGGTTATATTTTTATTAGGGAATGGTTAGATGCCTTGGTATTTTAAAAAGTATTAATTTCTCCTAAATTGATCTACAAATTTAACACAATCTCAACAATGACAGCAACACGATTTTCATTTTTAAAGATGAACCATGCTAATTCTAAAGATTTTATGACAAAATAAGCATGAAAGAATACCCGGGAAACATTAAAAGTAAAGAAAAAAATGAGAAAGAGCTTTAAGGATATTTAAATATATTATAGATCTACAATAACCAAGAGAATTCAATTCTGTCAGGCAGAAAATGGAACAGAATAAGGTCAAGAAATAAACTAAAGTACATAAGGATTTTGATATATGATAAATCATGAGTGGGGAGTGATAAAGTATTGTAAGTGCCTTAAGGTTTTTAAAATATCAAATTAAATACCTACCTCAACCCTTATGTCCAAAATCTTTCCAGATGGACCAAAGAATTTAACACTCAAATTAAAAAAAAAAAAAACTGCAATGATGAGAATGTTTTCTAAGCAAGATACAAAACCAGAAACCATAGGCAATGAATAAATTTCAACTT